TTGACACTCTCCATGGTTCCAGCGGGAAACGAGGAACTATTCTTTTATTATTAAAAAGATGAAATCTGCAATCTCCAGCAAACACTACTTTCCCTACTGGATCTTTAAATTATTAGTCCCACATTCCTCCAATACAAATTCACTAAGCCTTTACATCCTGGGTGCTGAATAAACCCTGCAACTGCTTTCAGGAAGAAACCTACCTTTCTTAACCTGGAGGTAGATTGCTGCTCATAAGTGACAGGTGGAGTACTGTAAATCCCCGAGGGTGATTCTAGCCCTTGACCCAGTAGGGTATTTACTGTCAGTGACGCCCAGATTTAGAAAGAGGACGTAAACATGGTGTCGACACCAGACAGGGCAAAGAGCAACTGCTTGTGGGAAACACACATGCATCCATCATCATCACTGCGGATGAGGAGGAAAAGGAGGACAAGGTGTGAATTTGAAAAGCAGGATAACTTAGTGAGGGTCTGAGTGCTCAAGATCAAATCTCACTCCACCCTCACTGCCTTATGTGATCCCGAGAAGTTACTCAAAATATCTGTACCAACATTTCCTCAGTCTGAAGGTAGGAAGTAGCACCTTTTGCATAGGGTTGTTGGAAAGATTAAAAATAGTATATGTCATCTGTGTCAAAACCTTGATACTAGTGTATTTCTGTTCACTGTTTGCACCACGTTAGTTTCCTTGATATATGTTGAATAAAAAAACAAAAACAAAATTTGACTTGGCCCCGTGGCTCACACCTGTAATCCCAGCCCTTTGGGAGGCAGAGACAGGCAGATCACCTGAGGCCAGGCATTTCAGACCAGCCTGGCTAACGTGGCGAAACCCCATCTCTACTAAAACTACAAAAATTATGTGGGCCTGGTGGCACATGCCTGTAATCCCAGCTACTCTGGAAGCTGAGGCAGGAGAATCACTTGGACCCGGGAGACAGAGGTTGCAGTGAGCTGAGATTGCACCACTGCACTACAGCCTGGCCTACAGAGCAAGACTCTGTCTCAAAAAAAGAAAAAAAAATTGATTAAAATGTCAAATTGGCTTTTATTAGTGACTCATAAAACAGGCAGTTGCTATTCAAAATAGAGGGAGCTTCAATAAGCCTGGCAGACCAGTTGGTTCTCCTAAGGTAACTTGAACAGAAATAGGGAAACCGAAATATAAAAAGTGAATTGGTTAACATCAGGTTACTTCAGGTTACTTTCCTTATAAAGGGTTAAAGCAGAGAGGACTTCCTTATCATGCTGACTCAGGCTGACTGGGCCTTTTCTGATTGCTTGCTGTAAATCTCTTGTTTTTGGGAAAAGCCAGTCTATTTGGGAATTTTCTTGTTTACGTTTCAGCTTGATTACATGGCACTTAGCACAAGTGACCCCATTTTGGTTCAATCTGTTGCGACCTAATGCAGGAGCTCAGTCCAAAACCACGGCCTCTCATACGTTTTATTTAACAACACAAAGAAAAGAGTTTTTGTTCTGAAGCCGATTTTCTTGAGGCTATTGATAAACCGATCACAACAGAACTAAAAAATATATTCAATAAACAAGTACAAGATTAAAGAATTGTCTAAAAAATGTAATGTAACAAGTGAAAGATTATAAATCCAAATCACTCGATTTAGGATTAGGGTGAGGTATTCATTATGGCTCCACAGTTTGTTTTTAAGTGTCACCTAATGAGTAGATGTCACACTCCAATCTCTTCCTTAAGTGAATATTATAAATTTTAATTTTATTAAATTCACACTTAAATTATGCTTTTAAAATTATCTTTGGGTCGGGCATAGTGGCTCATGACTATAATTTCAACATTTTGGGAGGCTGTGGCAAGAGGATTACTTGAGCCCAGGAGCTTGAGACCAGCATGGGCAACAAAGTGAGACTGACTCTACCAAAAACATTTTATTTAATTAGCCAGGCATGGTAGCACAGGCCTGTAGTCCCAGCTACTCAGGAAGTGAGGTGGGAGGATCGCTGGGGCCTGAGAGGTCAAGGCTGCAGTGAGCCATGGTCATGCCACTGCACTCTAACCTGGACAAGAGAGCGAGACCCTGTCTCAAAATAAAAATGAAAATAAAATAAAATTATCTTTGAACTAAAATAAATTATGGCAAGTGAAATTGTCAAAACTCTGAAAATAGAACCTACATATAGTTGATGTATTTGTTTAGACCAGTTAATCATGTAAACAACAGGTAAGTATATCCAAGTTTCAGAAATACTTTGGGGGTTCGTTAATTTTTGGTTACCTTCAAGATTTTCTTAACCTCTTATTTGTGTCAGGGCCAGGCTCATGCCTTTAATTCTAGCACTTTGGGAGGCCAAGGCAGGAGGATCGCTTGAGCCCAGGAATTAGAGACCAGCTTGGGAACATAGTGAGACTCCTTATTACTACAAAAAATTTTAAAATTATCTGGGCATGGTGGTACATTCCTGTAGTCCAGCTGCTATAGGGGCTGAGATGGGAGGATCACTTGAGGTAGGAGGCTGTGGCTGCAGTGACTGTGATTGCACCACTGCACTCCAACCTGGGTGGCAAAGTGATACCCTGTCCTACAAAAAAAAAAAAGAGTAGAAAATTAGTGTGTCTAAGGCCGGAGCTCTTAGGCAAACTGGTGAAGCTCCTTCTCAGAATAATGTTTTTAACGCCTAAGATAAAAAATGAGATTGTAAGTGAGAAACTAAAAATCAGCTTGGACTTTAATCTGCCCTGGTATTCATTAGCACGGACTGATAAAACCAGCCTCAAAATTACCAGAAAACAATATTTCTCTCAAACCACAGCAAATCATAAAAGTGTCATAACAACCTCCTTTCTTTTCTCCTTAAAATTTTTTATTTTTTATTTTTGCCGATTCCTTTATGCAAGTTGCTGTGTGTGTCTCTGTTGTCTCCGTGGAAGGCCAGAGCCACATGGTCCTAAGAGTTGGGCACAGGGAAGCGTAGGCTGATCTGAAGAAGACACTTCAATCATGGGTGATGTTAAAAATTTTCTCTATGCCTGGCGTGGTAAAAGGAAGATGACCCCATCCTATGAAATTAGAGCATTGGGGAAGAAAAATAGGCAGAAATTCATGTGTGAGGTTCAGGTGGAAGGGTATAACTACACTGGCATAGGAAATTCCACCAATAAAAAAGATGCACAGAGCAATGCTGGCAGAGACTTTGTTAACTATTTGGTTCGAATAAATGAAATAAAGAGTGAAGAAGTTCCAGCTTTTTGGGGTGGCATCTCTGCCCCCACTTACTGATACTCCTGACACTACAGCAAATGCTGAAGGAGGTTTACCAACAACCATGGAAGGGCCTCTTCCACCACATCTGGCTCTCAAAGCTGAAAATAATTCTGAGGTAGGGGCCTCTGGCTACGGTGTTCCTGGGACCGAGGAGCCAACTTGAAGGTGAAGCACCGTCTCTAATAAATAAATAAATTACAAGTGGCACACACTTGTAATCCCAGCTACTAGGGAGGCTGAGGCACGAGAATTACTTGAACCTGGGAAGTGGAGGTTGCGGTGAGCCGAGATGACATCACTGCACTCTAGCCTCGGCGACAGAAGGAGACTCCGTCTCCAAAAAAATAAATAAATAAATCCAATACCAGGAAGTGCTTTCTTACCATGAGAGCTCCCCACAAACCAGAGTGAGAAGACAGATACAGCAGAAGCAGGACCAGAGGTCTCCACCACTGAACCAGGTCAACCTGAATTTGTTTTTGTAGCTCTGGGAAGTCTTGAACTGAATGGGAGGTTCTACTGTGGCCCTCTAGTGTATGGTTCCAGGATTTGTAAACACTCTAATTCTTGTTTTTTGTTTTGTGTTGGTTTTTGTTTTTGTTTTTAAGCTGTTCCTGCTAATTGCTTTTTAAGCCAGGCTCAAGTGTGGGTCCACAGGGAATACTTCAGGTGCCCTTCGAATCAGATACTACGTTTCAGCCCTCAGGGCTAGAATGCTTCCCGCTGTTACTTGGGCAGGTCTTTGAAGAAGCCAGTTTAGCCTTGGTAGTTTTGAATTTGGCCATAGTATAGGGAGGAGAGCTAGGTAGCTTTCAAAACGCTCAGACAGATGTGTGGGAAAATGCAGCCCGGTCTGAACCTCCGCAGGAGCCCCGCACCTGGTGCAGCAAGTGGGCAAAGGAGTGTGTGTTCAGGGCAGGGTACTCAGTCCCATCTGTAATCGAGAGATCTGGAGGGTCCGAGGAAGTCAGTGACACCCCCACAAGCCACACACCTTCCAATGGATTGTGGAAGAGATCTGGAGGGCCCGAGGAAGTCAGTGACACCCCCACAAGCCACACACCCTCCAATGGATTGTGGTGGTTATCCCTGGCTACCGAAGCCACCTTGCTTATTCCCATAGCCTTACACACATTATGATGCTTCACACGAGTTGTGGGTGAAGTGAAAGAGTTGGAAAGTCCCGGTCTAAGGCTCTGCAAAACTGCTCTCTGGTAAAAACAAGTGACTATGGCAAGGCCTTGAATGTACTACGTACAGACTTAAGTCAGTATTTGTGCCTAACAGCAAAGCAAGCCATGAGAGGTTCCTCAAAAGTCAGGTAATTGATGCCATTGTTTTCTCGACATGGTTGAAGAGTCAGAGAAGAGAAGGTGATGCAGAAGCTTCTTTCCAGTTAAGTGACAGATCCAAGCAAGGAACACCTGCCGGTGGCGGGAGCGGTAGGGGAGGGGTGGATTCGGCAGCACTCGGGTAGTGGCAGGGACCACATATTGTCGGTGTTTAACCACTGTTATCACTGGCCCAGGTCGGGTGAGGACAAGTCATTTCCCCACTAAGCTCTTGGGGAGTGGCAGGGACCACATATTGTCAGTGTTAACCACTGTTATCACCGGCCCAGGTCGGGTGAGGGCAAGCCATTTCCCCACTATTGTCTCTTCTTCCTTACTGCACCCCCGGCTCCGCACCCTCAGCCCCAAATACACATTCTCATTCACTCAACGTTTGTTGACACCTAGCGTGGGCCCTGTGTGATGGGGTAAAAGTTCGGTGTTGGGAGGAGCCCCAGTGACAGATTTTCGGTTTTGGTTTGGTTTTGGTGGTGGCTGCTGGGCAGGGACAGGTCAGTTCATAAAAGAAGAGGCCCCAGGTCTGGATCGAATTCTCCTGGGAGCCAGACCAAAGCGCCTTCCTGGACTGAAAAGTGCGGCAGCCGCCGCGGGCAGGGTGCGGAGAGGCGTCACGCGCCGGAACCTGCGCTTGCTGCCAAGCTCTGGGCCTGATTAGCCGGGGTGGGGCGTCCCGCGTCCTGGGCTGGCGGCTCCGCGCATGCTCCTCCCTCAGGCGTCGCAGGCCTCCAGAGGATCCGGAAGCACTGGGTGCAGCCTGATGGCTCCGGAGTTAGACACCGCACAGGGCGCCAAGATGCGGCGGGGCGCGGGCGCGGCTCGGGGACGCGCTTCCTGGTGCCCGGCCGTGGCGCTGCTATGGCTCGCGGCGGTTCCGGGCTGGCCCCGGGCCTCGGGCGTTCTCTCCCGGCGCCACTGGCCGGTGCCCTACAAGTGAGTGCGGCGGCACGCGCACTGTCGGGGTCGGGGTCGCAGTCGGCGTTGCAGATGGGGGACGGGGTGCTCGCGCGGGGAGCCCCGCGCACGGTGGTTTGTGTCGGATCACGAGACGGCGCGGGGGCAGCGCCGGGTGATGCTCGGAGCGCACTTGAGAGCAAAGTTGAGGACTGGGGAGTCGCAGCCGCTTGTTATGCACAGCCCTGGGATCTTTCCTCCCTCTGGCCACTTGCGGCAGACTCAGGACAGTCCCGAATCGTGGCAAAAGAAAAGGAGAGTAATGTTATTTAATGGAGGGATTTCTGGATACAAGTAGCTGATTTATTGAGTAGTTTAAAAACACTGTCTGTCGCATTTATTTATATCATGCACTGTCATTAGTTATTACTGCAGAACATTTGGTACAGTTTACTGGGCGACCAACTCGCTCTGGTTTGAACCTGATCAGAACCCGATCCGAAGTCCTTATTGGAACTTCCCAGTTTTGCACTCAAAAGTCCCGCATCCCGGAATCCCCGTCTCCTGCAGTCCTGGTTAGACCGGGAAGATAGTCATCGCGTTTGTCCGGTCTTCAGCCTGGAGGTAGGACGCCGGTCCTAAGACGAGGACAGGGCCCGCACTCCTGGGAGGCCGATTCCAGCCTTTGACAGAGAAGACAAACAGCCTCCGGCGGTCAGAGATAGCTAAACACAGAGAAAGAAAACATGGTGTCAACATCAGGCAGGAGAACGACCAGCAGTTTCTGAAAACAGCTGTTTTTCTTTAAACCAAAAGCATCATTATTTTAATTCAATTTATAATGGACATAATTTTAACATACCAGCATAAGTAATCAACAGCTAAAACTGCACACAACAAACCTGAAAAATAAAAACAGCTATTTTGCATGACAGTATGAGTGGGAAGGCAGGATTTCCTCTTTGTGAGGAGCGAGTTTTAGGTTCTGCCTGCTGCGGGTCAAATCTGGCTCCATCATCACCAGGGATCTTGGGAAAGTTACTCAGAATCTCTGTGCCCACATGCCCTGAGTCACACAATAGGAATAGTGGTAGCACTTACCGGTTTGCTGGAAGGATTAAATCTAGCAGAATGCCAGCTGTTATCAAATCTAGCTAGTGTATTCTGCTCACTGAAAGGTTTGCAGCACTGTTTTGTTTCGTGTGATATACTACGTGGAAAGAGAAGTTTGTGGTTGAAGCTAGTTTTCTGGAAAATGTTAATAAAAAACTGTAAGAAGTCAAAATTACTCAATAGAACAAGAATTGTAAATCCAAACGCTTTGATTGAACATTAGGGCAAGGTGTTGACCATAGCTTTTTAGTGGATTTTTTTTTTAAGTCTCAGATATTAAGTACATGACCCCATCTGATCCCCTCAATTGAATATAATATTTAAGTTTATTAAGTTCACATTTAAATTACCTTTGAACTAAAAGACTTTGCTGTGGGTCAGTGCAATCTCTATGTGATTATGTATTTGTTTAAACCAGGTAAGTGCCTATAAAACACTGTACCCAAGTGGCAGAAGCTTTTGGGAGCATTGTTAATGTTTTTGGTCAGCATAAAGATTTTAACTTCTTAAGTTAAAATAGAAATTTTTGTTGATTTGTTGGGATTGTAAAACAGTAGATCTGGGTTGGGGATCTAGGATTCTTAGATAGAAGCTCTTGTCGCCACCACTTCCTTCTTTCCCAGTGCCAGATTATGGGTGACCAGTGTGTCTGCTGAGCTGAATTCAACTGTGGTGCTCCTCGAGTCCTATTGCTATGGCCTTCTCTGGTCTTCTTTTCTTGCCTGCATTGTTGAGGTCACCTTCTAACTGATCTCTCATGTTTAATTTGGCCTCTCTCCCTACCCTCTTTTAATTCATGAAATAAGGTTTACTTTATAGCAAATTCAGTCCTATCAGATCTGCTACTTAACATCCTTTAAGCTTAGCCCCCCCCCAGTTGTAAGGCAGGGAATTCCATGCACATTCTCCTAGTGACAGAATGACAGCCCCTGCCAGTCTCTTCTGTCTCCACTCGTGCATTGAAGCCTGAATCCTAGTCTTCCGTACCTACCGGAGACCAAATGTGCCAGGCTTGTCTTATAATACTTAACATTTCCTCTGCCTTTCTGTCTTAACCTTCTAGCCAAGTACGTTAAAAACGTAGGCCTGGCCTTCATCTCTTTCTTTGCCCTCCCCACCCCATTCATCCCATACCTGGTTAACAATGATTTGTCCTTCCTTTGTGCCAGGTAGAACTCATTTCTTTAGTCTAGCACATCCCACACTCATTACTTGTTGAATGTCTTTGCAGCTCCCACCCACAGAGAAAAGCAACAGTGTTTTAATTTCTGTTTCCCTCCTTCTTCCTATAGTTCCCTATATACCTAGTAGAACCTCAATACATATTGGTTGAATGTTAATTCGTAAGTAAATATAAAATATATACTATGACTCATAATCATCTGAATAATCTTAATGTATGGATTGTTTGTAAAACTGAACACATTGGAAAAATGTTCATTTAATCTGTAAACATTTGCAAATGTCTACTATGACCTGGAGCTATAAAATTTTAAGATAGGATTCCTGTCTTCAAAATTTTCACAGTGGGATCAGGGAACAGGGAATCCTGGATTTATCAGAGTGCTTTGAGTTTATCATTTGCTATTAAAAACATTATTGGAAGTTTGTTCACAAGATAACAAAATGTATGTTTATATTTATTAACTATGGTCTGACCTTTGAATGGTCCCCTAAAAATGTTACTGGATTCTAAAAGATGGGAGAAGAATCCAATTCCTGTTGGAATCTAAGTAGATGGTTTCTTTTTCTTTATTAGACGCTTTGACTCCCGTCCAAAACCTGATCCTTATTGTCAAGCTAAATATACTTTCTGTCCAACTGGCTCACCTATCCCAGTTATGGAGGGTGATGATGACATTGAAGTCTTTCGATTACAAGCCCCAGTATGGGAATTTAAATATGGAGACCTCCTGGGACACTTGGTAAGGATGCATCTTGGTCTTACAACTTTGGTTAATTCAATGATTTGGTTATTAAGTTGATTTTTAGGGAGTAATCACTACTTAGATGGCTGACTTTAGATCATGTTGGTGTTTCTCTTAGTACATTTAAAATGAGTAGTCAAAAATAGTTACTATTAGATTTTATAATCTTGACAACAAATGTAATCACCATTATCCGTTGTAATATTATGAATCTGAATCCAGCTCCTGTATCCAGCTCCTGGAAGATGAGAAGAGGCCCAGAAGGGGCAGGGTAGGCAGAAAACACCTCTTGATTTCCAGATCCTGTTGTAGTCACTTTTCCAGGTTAACCCATCACCACGTGAGGTCTGTAGAGCTCCTTCCGGAGACCGGCAGGGGGCTCCGCAGCTTATTCTAAGCTCTGAGGAAATTACGAGCTTGTCCACATAATATGCATGCCTCCTATTTGAAATGAGCTGTAGGGACCAAAGCCAGGGTGGAGGAGGGCCTGGAGATTGGGGCCACAGAGTGGATATGACAATAGCAGCATGGAAGAACAGCTGAACAGCTGTTCTACTTGATATGCATTTGTGATGTGCCACATTTTCTCCTATCAGGTTACCTGGACCCATGGTTATGTCTCAGTTGCTTTTATACGTGTATTGTGTTTACACAGAAAATTATGCATGATGCCATTGGATTCAGGAGTACATTAACTGGCAAGAACTACACAATGGAATGGTATGAACTCTTCCAACTTGGCAACTGTACATTTCCCCATCTCCGACCTGAAATGGATGCCCCTTTCTGGTGTAATCAAGGCGCTGCCTGCTTTTTTGAGGGAATTGATGATGTTCACTGGAAGGAAAATGGGACATTAGTTAAAGTAGCGACTATATCAGGTAAGTTTTGAAAATATAGCAATATTTGATAATTACATCAAAATCCAAATGAAAGAAATTGTAATACTTCTATGGAAACATTTCAGTAATGTTTTACTTAGAGGTCATTTGTAAAATGTACTTCTGGAACCACTAAACTTTGGGAATTTTTTTCATCTCTTGTATTTTTTATTTATTTTATTTCAATAGGTTTGTGGGGAACAGGTTATGTTTGGTTACATGAATGAGTTCTTCAATGGTGATTTCTGAGATTTTGGCACACCCATCACCTGAGTAGTGTACACTGTACCCAATGTGTAGTCTTTTATCCCTCACCCCTCTCCACCCTTTCCCCCAAATTCCCAAAGTTCATCATTCTTATGCCTTTGCATCCTCGTAGCTTAGTTCCCACTTATGAGTAAGAACATACAATGTTTGGTTTTCCATTCCTGAAGAGTTACTTCACTTGGGTGGAATTGGAGACCATTATTCCAAGTTGCTGCAAATGCCATTATTTAATTCCTTTTTATGGCTGAGTCGTATTCCTTGGTATATATACACCACATTTTCTTTATCCACTCATTGATTGATGGGTGTTTGGGCTGGTCCCATATTTTTGCAATTGCAAATTGTGCTGTGCTTCTATAAACATGCATGGGCAAGTATCTTTTTCATATAATGAGTTCTTTTCCTCATTGGGTAGATACCCAGTAGTGGGACTGCTGGATCAAATGGCAGTTCTACTTTTAGTTCTTCAAGGAATTTCCACACTGTTTTCCATAGTTGTTGTACTAATTTACATTTCCACCAGCAGTGTAGAAGTGTTCCCTTTCCACTACATCCTGCCAATATCTATTTTTTTTTATGTTTTGATTACAGCTATTCTTGCAGGAGTGAGGTGGTATCACATTGTGGTTTTGATTTGCATTTCCCTGATCATTGCATTGCATTTTCCTGAGCATTTTTTTGAGAATTGTCTATTTGTGTCCTTAGCAACCCTCCACCCTTTTGTTTTGTTTTGTTTTTGTTTTTGTTTTTTTGAGGTGGAGTTTTGTTCTTGTCGCTCACGCTGGAATGCAATGGCATGATCTCGGCTCACTGCAAGCTCCACCTCCTGGGTTCAAGCGATTCTCCTGCCTCAGCCTCCCAAGTAGCTGGGATTACAGGTGCCCGCCACCATGCCAAGCTAATTTTTGTATTTTTAGTAGAGATTGGTTTTTGCCATGTTGGCCAGGCTGGTCTCAAACTGCTGACCTCAGGTCATCCGCCCACCTCGGCCTCCCAAAGAGCTGGGTTTAAAGGAGTGAAGCACCACTCCCCAGCCATTAACCCACTTTTTGATGGGATTGTTTTTTCTTGCTGATTTGAGTTCCTTGTAGATTCTGGATATTAGTCCTTTGTCAGATGTGTAGATTGCAAAGATTTTCTCCCACTCTGTGGGTTGTCTGTTTTTTTCTCCCACTCTGTGGGTTGTCTGTTTACTCTGCTGATTGTTCCTTTTGCTGTGCAGAAGCTTTTTAGTTGAATTAAGTCTCATCTATTTATCTTTGTTTATGTTGCATTTGCTTTTGGTGGAACCGCTAAACTCTGACCCAAACTATTACTCATGCAGAACTTCACCTGTAGGTGATGAGTAGTGTATCTCTGATCTTTGCATTTCTCCCTAAAAATGCTCTTTTCCTATCATAAAAATGAATAAAATGATAAAACATTTTGTACAATTAAATTGGACTTTCTAAACGAAATAGTAAGAGAAATCCATAAAATGCCTGATTAAAGGATATGTTAACTATATCTGAAAAAATTTTAGTGATATTTTTATGATGAAAAATAATAGCTACTACTCATATAGACTGGTTCTGGCACTGTTCTGAGTACTGTACATATATCACATCATTCATCATCACAACTTCTGCAGGTAGTTACTATTATTTTGCCCATTTTACAGATGGAGAAACTGAGGCATAGAGTGGTTACACAGCTTAGTAAGTGGGACTCTAGCCCTGGCAGTTACGCCCCATTGCCCATTCTCCTAACTGCTTTGATACATTGCCTCCCAAAATGTATATGATCTTATATTTGAGGCCCTCTTGAGCAGTTTAAATATTTTATCTTTGAGATTTTTTTCTTCTTTTGGATGTATTGGAAAGTTGCCGAAAGTTAGAATTTTGTTGCACATGCTGCATTGTTGGTTAGTAATGAAAAGAGTTCAGCAACTCTTCCATTGGTAACTCCTTATGTGACTTGGGTCACATTTTTTTGTTTGTTTGTTTTGTTTTATTATACTTTAAGTTCTAGGGTACATGTGCACAACGTGCAGATTTGTTACATATGTATACTTGTGCCATGTTGGTGTGCTGCACCCGTCAACTCATCAGCACCCGTCAACTCATCATTTATATCAGGTATAACTCCCAATGCCATCCCTCCCCCCTCCCGATAATAGGCCCTGGTGTGTGATGTTCCCCTTCCAGAGTCCAGGTGATCTCATTGTTCAGTTCCCACCTATGAGTGAGAACATGCGGTGTTTGGTTTTCTGTTCTTGCGATAGTTTGCTGAGAATGATGGTTTCCAGCTGCATCTATGTCCCTACAAAGAATACAAACTCATCCTTTTATATGGCTGCATAGTATTCCATGGTATATATGTGCCACATTTTCTTAATCCAGTCCGTCACTGATGGACATTTGGGTTGATTCCAAGTCTTTGCTATTGTGAATAGTGCTGCAATAAACATAAATGTGCATGTGTCTTTATAGCAGCATGATTTATAATCCTTTGGGTATATACCCAGTAATGGATGGCTGGGTCATATAGTATTTCTAGTTCTAGATCCTTGAGGAATCACCATACTGTTTTCCACAATGGTTGGACCAGTTTACAATCCCACCAACAGTGTAAAAGTGTTCCTATTTCTCCACATCCTCTCCAGCACTTGTTGTTTCCTGACTTTTTAATGATTGCCATTCTAACTGGTGTGAGATGGTATCTCATTGTGGTTTTGATTTGCATTTCTCTGATGGCCAGTGATGGTGAGCATTTTTTCATATGTCTGTTGGCTGTATGCATGTCTTCTTTTGAGAAATGTGTGTTCATATCCTTTGCCCACTTTTTGATGGGGTTTTTTTTTGTTGTTGTTGTAAATTTGAGTTCTTTGTAGGTTCTGGATATTAGCCCTTTGTCAGATGAGTAGATTGCAAAAATTTTCTCCCATTCTGTAGGTTGCCTGTTCACTCTGATGGTAGTTTCTTTTGCTGTGCAGAAGCTCTTTGGTTTAATTAGATCCCATTTGTCAATTTTGGCTTTTGTTGCCGTTGCTTTTGGTGTTTTAGACATGAAATCCTTGCCCATGCCTATGTCCTGAATGGTATTACCTAGGTTTTCTTGTAGGGTTTTTATGGTTTTAGGTCTAACATTTAAGTCTCTAAAACATCTTGAATTAATTCTTGTATAAGGTATAACGAAGGGATCCAGTTTCAGCTTTCTACTTATGGCTAGCCAGTTTTCCCAGCACCATTTATTAAATAGGGAATCCTTATCCCCATTTCTTGTTTTTGTCAGGTTTGTCAAAGGTCAGATGGTTGTAGATGTATGGTATTATTTCTGAGGGCTCTGTTCTGTTCCATTGGTCTATATCTCTGTTTGGGTACCAGTACCATGCTGTTTTGGTTACTGTAGCCTTGTAGTATAGTTTGAAGTCAGGTAGTGTGATGCCTCCAGCTTTGTTCTTTTGGTTTAGGACTGTCTTGGCAATGCGGGCTCTTTTTTGGTTCCATAGGTGTGGAAATCCAAAACCATTGTTTACTCACATGCATCCATAGTCTTAATCAAGTTAGAACATTTTACTTAAAATTAATATGATTAGGCCAGGCATGGTAGCTCACACCTATAATCCCAGTGCTTTAGAAGACTGAAGCAGGAGGATCACTTGAGGCTGAGAGTTTGAGACCAGCTTGGGCAATACAGCAAGACCCTGTGTTGCCCAGGCTGTTCTCAAAAAAAAAAAAAAAAAGTAAAAAATTAGTTGGCTTTGGTGGCCCACACCTGTAGTCCCAGCTACTCAGGAGGCTGAGGTGGGAGGATCACTTAAGCCTGGGAGGTCAAGGCTGCAGTGAGCTGTGATTGTACCACCGCACTCTAGCCTTGGCAACAGAGGAGACCTGACTCAAAAAAAAAAAAAAAAATTAACATGATTAGCTTCGTTCACTAGGTGACTTTGTTTTGTTTTTTTGAACTAGGAAACATGTTCAATCAAATGGCAAAGTGGGTGAAACAGGACAATGAAACAGGAATTTATTACGAGACATGGAATGTAAAAGCCAGCCCAGAAAAAGGGGCAGAGACATGGTTTGATTCCTACGACTGTTCCCAGTTTGTGTTAAGGACCTTTAGCAAGTTGGCTGAATTTGGAGCAGAGTTCAAGAACATAGAAACAAACTATACAAGAATATTTCTTTACAGTGGAGAACCTACTTATCTGGGAAATGAAACATCTGTTTTTGGGCCAACAGGAAACAAGACTCTTGGTTTAGCCATAAAAAGATTTTATTACCCCTTCAAACCACATTTGTCAACTAAAGAATTTCTGTTGAATCTCTTGCAAATTTTTGATGCAGTGATTGTGCACAGAGAGTTCTATTTGTTTTACAATTTTGAATATTGGTTTTTACCTATGAAATTCCCTTTTATCAAAATAACATATGAAGAAATCCCTTTACCTAACAAAAACAAAACACTCTCTGGTTTATAAAACACCTTAATTCTACTGCTCTTTTTTCGCCAATCACCAGCATCTGTTTTTCAGGGGCTGATTTTACTTTTGTGAATTTCTTAGCTTTTCTTCCTTGGTGCAGGAAGTTAAAATGCACATCAGCAGAACTGCTGCATATTAACATCTCAGGACTTTTCTCTTGGAAAGAAACTGAAATTCATACTATATTGGCCAAAGTGAGCAAGTTAAGTGATCTTGGTTTCAATTTCCGAGCCTTTGTTAATACAGAGAATTATGGTTCATATCAGTTATGTAGGACCTTTGGACCCAAGGTCCCACAGATAGATATGATGTGCCAAGATTTTTAAAATACCTTCAAAAATAAAAAAAATACCTTCAGTGACATTTTCATGATGGGAGCTCTTTTTTCTGGTATGGCAGTTACACTTTTTCACTCAAGTGCTTTAGTTTAGACTGACTTTACAACTTTTATAACTTCTGGAACCAAGTTTAGTATAGTCTGATTACAGTCCATTCACATAACTTTAGAGATTCGTTTAGAAACCGTAACTGGAGTGGTTGTGCTTCTAGATGTGGCAAATCCAGTGTTAACACACATTTCTGGCTGGCATTTTGGAACTAGCTAGTAACTGGCTTGTGTTATTTAAGCAACCTAACATCACTAAATCCTAGGATTTAGGATTGCTGTAAAGATGGAAGTTGTATATGTTTGGCAGGTCACAGTGAATGGCAGTGATAATATCAAAGAACAAATTGTCATCCTTGATCTTGCCTCATGTAGTTTATGTGCCAGACCTTCCCGGGTTTTGTAGTCACCTAGACTTTAAGCTGATGGCATAGTGCTTCCGCAGTTCTTCCAGCCGGGGTGTGCAGGTATATGGCTGCAGACATGTTTGCGTAAACAGGCAGCGTCTGACTTCTTCACTGTTTCCTGTAGTTCTCCCTCTTCCCACAAAGCTGTCAGCGCAGTGGAAGAGGTTGCACATCTCCGAGAGAGGACAGGTTTCGGTCCGAGTTCAGCTGTGCTTTCATTAGAGCCAGACAAGCTTTCAAGGTCCTTTAAGTATTTGATGATCAACTGAACACGTTTCTATTCAAGGATTAAACACCAGTCAGTAAGAAGATGGAGTGGATGTCCGAGAAAACAATTCACATTTAATATGTAAATGTACCAATTATGTGATTCAGTTTCAGCTGATATTCAAGTGCTTCCTGAGAGGTTAGTACATTATTACTGAGCGTTCATAGAAAGCTTAATCATAGATGTAATTAGCCTGATCCAAATGAGTAAATTGGACCTTAGAAAGGCTAAGTGATCTTTCTCTGGCTACCCAGCTAGTAGTAATGAAGTCAGGTCTTGAACCCAGGTTCTGCCGACTGAATTGGATGCACTATAGTACAGGCTTTTTAGCACCAAAGTGTGGTCCTCAGACCAGTGCCTGCCAACCAGATGTTACTAGTCTGTGAGGAAGTAAGTACAGATACTGACAGGAAGCTTTTATAAACTTTTAAAGCAATTTGTTGGAGTGTTTTTGTTTCTGTTGGGTCTAATTAAAAAAATTGGAGCTTGTATTTTATGTGTCTTTGGTCTTATTTTGTCTAGGAATTCATTTTTACTGTTGTTTTTTTTAACTAGTTCCACAACAGTCTGAAAATAACCCAGTCACCAGGTATCTTCCTCAAATACAGAGGGAGAACTTTCTTTCACACCTCCTATTTAGCCTGTCTACTCCTGATAATAATGCCTAAACATTCCAAATTAATACTGCCTCTTTAACCTGCTAATTGTTTTTACAATGTCACAAGAAAACTTGGATCTGTGCATTATCACCATCTAGTGGCTAAACTCAGGCAACACCAACGTCTGCCAAACTCTTAGGAAAATTGCTCTGGAAAAACAGTTCAGGATTTTGGATTTCCAGAACTGCCTTGAAGAGACAAAGATTCTTGTACCAAGTTTTGGTCAACTGCAAATCAAAGAACTTGGTTATGTAGGAAAAACAAATGAGGACATCTGTACCTGGAATTTTTAAACAACATTCTAATAGTTATGTGAAAAAAGCATTCAAGATTTTTGGGTAGGTGCAGTGGCTTATGCCTGGAATCCCATCATTTTGGGAAACTGAAGTGGGAGGATTGCTGAAGGTCGGGAGTTCAAGACCAGCCTGGCCAATGTGGTGAAACCCCGTTTCTCCTAAAATTACCAAAAAAAAAAAATAATAAAAAATAAAAGCTGGGCGTGGTGGCCCGTGCCTGTAATCCCAGCTACACGTGAGGCTAAGGCAGAAGAATCACTTGAACCCAGGAGGCAGAGATTGCAGTGAGCTGAGATGGCACCACTGCACTCCACCCTGGGCAACAGAGCGAGACTCCGTCTCAAAAAAAACCATGATTTTTCAATGTTCCTAAGAATCTTAATGAAGACAGAAAGCACCATAGATTCAGGTAACTACAGCACAGACAGCATTAACATTTACAAAAGTATTTCTTAAGAATTAAACCTGTCAACTCTACTTACAAGATGTAGAGCTTTCAGATAAAGATGATTCAAGAACATGCTTTCAAAATAGTAGTTGAGAAACCAAAACATAGCCACGCAGAAATCTGCCAATTAAGTTTTGCTGCCCTTTGAACAATATGATGTAATGTGATTTACTTTAATTATAACTTAAGTACAACTTAAATGCAGTTTCTATTTTGCTGTTGTAGGCTGGGCACGGTGGCTCACGCCTGTAATCCTAACACTTTGGGAGGCCAAGGTGGACAGATCACTTGAGGTCAGGAATTTGAGACCAGCCTGGCCAACATGGTGAAACCTCGTCTCTACTAAAAATACAAATATTAGCTGGTCGTGATGGCGCATGCCTGTAGTCCCATCTACTTGGGAGGCTAAGGCAGGAGAATCACTTGAATCCAGGAGGTGGAGGTTGCAACGAGCCGGGATCATACCACTGCACTCCAGCCTGGCAAAAGAGTGAGACAGACTGTCTCAAAAAAATGTTATAGATGTTAAAATGTATGTATTTTTTGTCTGACTGGGGCTTTACAGTGAGTATATCCTCTCACTAATCTGGCTCAAAATTAGGTAAGTATACCCACAAAGTGTCATCTAATACATTGTTGCAGGTAGAGGAAAACGGACAGTGAAAAAATCTACTAAACTTTATTTGGAACCCTCGATATTGGCGGCTCCTTAAAAATTCAAGAAAAAAAATCAAGTCTTAGGAAGTCTTATCCAGTTTTATGGTCTGCTGTGGTGGCACTTACTGAATTACCTGGGATTACAGTTCCTGTAAGATTTGTTTTAAATAAATTGTTGGCAGGCTATACAAAGAGTGATGTTCCAAAACTACACACATGCTTTTTCCCTGTTCACAAACAGGCTGGCCAGTGTTTCTAGCATCCTCATTATTTACCCTTTATCATCCAAGTAGTTTCCTGCTCTTCAAACCTTCCTTTCAAAATTTTCTCTATTTAAAACAAGTTAGGATTATTTATCCTTTTATTGGACTGATTATTCTAAGGATAAGCTCTTATTTCACTTTTGGAGTAAAAGGCTTTGTGCCCTTTTTAAAGTTGGGTGTCAGCAAGCAGCTGGAATTTTCCTGCCTGGTAAAAATTAAAACCAGCCCCACAAACTGGGGTTGGAGTCTGTGAAAAGATCATCATCTATGTGTGGGGTAGAGATTAACTATAGTGTGTTAAAGGACGTAGTGGAGGCTTGAACCTTCTTCACACAAACTCCTTCCTTTCAGCCTAAACTTTCCCAAAAATACAAAAAGGTTCTTTAAATGCACTAAATTGACTTAATCTTCAATCATACCTATTTTTTCTGATATGGTTAAAACAGCCTAAATTACCAAATTGAAAGCCAGTAAGACAATGAAAATAATTTCAGTAGTTGAAAACTATTCTAATTTATATAAAGACATTTATCTCTAAAAAGACTGGTTGGGTTCTAGGACCCTTAAAGACTAATTCTTTGTCTAAATAATGTGTTTTATAAGTTCTCATTCTGAATGCAGAAAGAACCCATTCCTTATTTTCTGTATAAACATTTAAAAATTTGTATTTCATGGTAGGTTTTAAATTTCCTATTTCTTTAGGCATCAGACTTTATTTCAAGAATAGGTTCCATGAGCCTAACCTCGTATCTTCAAAAAAGCAAGTCTATCATAAACATTGTTTAATATTAAATATTATATCCATCAAATATGGATTTGAAACATTTTTAAGTTTAAAGTCAAATATGTGTAGTTTTTAAAAAGTAAAATACAACAGCATTAGTAACTTTTTATTCTCAAAGTGATAAAAGCATTTAACATATACTTTACAGTATAAACAAATTAAGTACTATGCATTTTGCTTATAAAGTGAATTAAAGTATTTTAAGCATTATATAATTCAATTTGTACAAAAAGTAAATTTCCAAATACAAGCTTTGGTTAGAACTGATTATGTACTGTCAAATCCATTTTTCCAAAGTTGTTCAAAGAAAAAAAACTTGACTAGCACAGGTAATTCTTGTACAATCAGAGCTTTTTACTATTTAGGAGGAGGGGAAATATTACTATAATTGCTTTTAATTTTCGAGTCTAGATAAGCCTTTTTTCTTCTCACTTATATGTTGCTGCAGGAGAACATATCACTTTTGGAAAGCATAAATTATGTAGAAAATCACCTTTTGCTTTATTCTTAAGAAGGTCATCCATTTTAAAAGATCTAAGACTGTTAGCTTCCTTAACTACCGAGATATTTTCTAAAAGTCACACTACTGAAAGGAGCCACTTCGAGAATTAATGTATTCCATTGGGGGTAAATCACTTCTGATTTCCCTCAGAAGGGCAGTAATATCTACTAGCACTAGTGCCCAGAATCAAAGTTTATATCATCTAAAAAAACGCAACATTTTTAGGCTCTACAATGCATGGATTACCTTTATTCATATGAAAGTAATATAAAATGTTACCTAACTTAAATAATATAAAATATCAGTTTAACCAAATTAACAATCACAAAACTGCAGACATTTTTCTATTAAAGTTTTCCAGTTCACTGAGCAATATTTACTGAAAAATGATTATGAACTTAAATATATCCTCTTTAAAATTTGCTTTTTATGCTAGACTGTACAATGGTGCTCCCTTTATGATTTTAAAAATTCTACTTATATAACTATGTAATTCCAAAACGGAAAAATGAGTGAGCCATCACTAAAATTTACTGGAAACTAATATTCTTTCATGGAAACAACTGATAAACATTTTAAAGTTCTATATTTATTTAAATTTGGCTTTTTAAAATAGATAAGCTTTTCATTTCAATTATTGTTTAATACTTCAAAGCTAGTTTAAACAAAGA